CACGCTTCGTCTGTGGAGCGTGGCTTCCCCGGCAGCGGTGTGGCTCGCACGACAGGTTGGGCTCGGCTGTGACTCGTCGCGCTTTCCCTCCCTGCCCTAGGGGTGGTGTGCGGGGCCGGAGCGGTGCTGGGTTGGGGCCCCGCGGCGCCTGCGGCTCCCCCGGCTCCCCCTAGCCGGGTTCCCACCCAGCGTGCCGGGAGTTTGAGCTCGCCGCTTGGAAACCCCACCCCTGCCGCAGCCTGTGAACACCGGGGGATGTGAAAGTCGGTTTGGCCATTTGGGGTTTTCAGGTTTTTTTTGAGAGGCCCAAGCCACCTATCATTGAATGCTAAATTCTTGTGATCCTTAATAAGCAATTTAGAACCCAGTCACGCGGAGAGCTGCAAAAGTTTAGATGATGAGAACCATTTAGTTTTTATTTCAAGGGGGATTCCGTTTTACTCAGTTGGCAGTGTTGAGATAGTCAGATCTTGCCAAGCGACACTAAGCAACGCAACTGTTGATGAAATCTTGACTAAAGTGTGGAACTAATCCTGAAAAAATACCCTTTCAGTACAAGTAAACACACACACAAAAATTTTTGAGATTGCACTTAACTTGTACACCTTAAGTAAAAATCACAAATGAGGCTTCCTGTTGGAGGCTTTGCCTGTTAAAACATGATACTGCCTCAGGCCCCCCTTTTTATATTTGCAGCCTAGAAAATTACATGCAACAAAACCTATCTTCTGGAAAGGGTACTTAATAGCTTTTGTTGCAGCAACTGACACTAATACGTTGCAAAGATTCAGCAAGTATTTTGTTCAGAATAGGGCTTTGAAACACGATAGCAAGCCAGATTTTTCTGGAAGGGCCTGCATGTTTCTAAATAGGAGCAATACTAGACTTTCGAAACTTTATGCCCAAGTTCAGCTGAGCGCCCGGGGAGCTTTACTGTGATATGCTCCTAGCATGTCCTGGACTACTTGAAAGATTTTGGAACAAAGTTCTGCAGTTAGCGACTGGATATACACGGCCATATCAAGTCCATGAAGGAAGAAAGGGTATATCAGGGAGGCCTGTGATACTGATATAAGAGCACAGAGAAGGGGAAGAAGAATACCTTGAAATACAACCACTTGCCCCAAAGAGCCATGTGGCTTTGCTTCTAGCCAACATCTTCCTAAGTTTTCCCTCATCTGCCTCTCTCAAAATTGTAGTTGAAGACTCCCATTTATAGAATTAGGGTTCAAAGATTGTGTGGTGGAACAGGAAATAGAAATGGACATTTCTTTGAGTTTGGGACACAGTAGATGAGCATTTCAGGAGAGAATTCAGGCGGAAAACAGCCAGTTTACTTTTAAGTTTCTGGAAGAGAGAAGTTGGCCAGAATGAATAAAAGAAAAGGAAAAAAAAAGCGAAGAATAGGAAAGTATCCCCTTGAAAAACTTTTTAAGGGTTAAATCGGAATCTTCTTGATGTCAAATTTTGCCAACCCTCTCCATCAAGTCCTGTCTAGATGAGCAGACAAGTCTTTACAATTACAATTAACTTCAAAACAAAAGCTCCTAAATTTCTATAAGCCATATATAAAAAAGAAATTCCATTGCAACTGAAATACATGAAACTAAATTTAGACATATTTCTAGAGCAGCTGTTGGTTACTCTAGCCATCTTTGTGCTCTCCAATTTGTGGAATTTATAATTTCTAATTCATACTTAAAATCAGCAGTTGAAAGAGTATTTTTATAGCGTAAAGCGAATTTCAATTATATATGTAAAGAGTTCTGTAAATTCATTTTAAGAAGTTATCTCAAAATCTTATCTAAACCTGGTATCATTTTAATGTTAATTTTAAACTTAGAATAGTTAAATTGTATATTTGAATGCACTGAAAGTGCATTTGAAAGAAACCCATGTCACATACTAGAAAAATAGCATTCCTTTCTAAGTGCTTTCACTTCTTTAGATGACGAAAAGATACTTCGCCATCTGAACTGTTATTAATCCCTGCAGTTTAACATGGCAGTGGTACTTCTATTATGTAGTGACTTATTAATGAAAAACTTAGGCTGGAAACAGGGCACAGGGTTTAACAGTGTTGATAACTGAACAGCAACTGAACAAGTTTTGTGGTGGATTTTCTTTCACAGGCAATTTTAAAACCATGGTTGGAAGTTAACTTTCCTAATAGACATTCTCTATTTCAAACACAAAATATTTCAGGAAAGATTGTATTTTAAGAGATCAGATGAGATGATCACAGTGGTCTCTTCAATTTTTTTATTCTATAAAATAGAATAAAGTGGAAAAAAAACTAAAAAATGAAAGAGCAACAAGTATGTTCAGAAATATGTTTTCTATGATGAAAAGTGTAAACATCAGAAAAAGATTTTTATAATAAAAGAACGAATACAGAAGTTCACAGAGATTCTGTACTTTACTAAAAGTCTCATTCCCTATGTCAAAGCGCAAGCTCAAAGCCAGTTTCATCAACAACTTTATATACATTCTTATGTACGTCATCGCTTCTTGACTTGAAAGGAGTCCATTGTGAATCAGTATACATCATGTTTTATTAAATAAAATATTCTATTATACTTCCTTATTCTGTGTGTTTATATATATAAAATGGCTCAAATAAGAAGAGGTGAGTGGGAAGAAATATGAATTCATGTTTTACAGATTACCCACCCACAAGTGTACTTTAAAACTGTAATTAAAAGTAAGTAATCTTTTAAGTTTTGAAACCTGTCTTATAAATCATGACTTGCCATTTTCTCTTTCCGGTGGGAAGATTACTTTTTCTCTTCTAAAGTTACAGAGCAATAAAGTTCTCCTCCCAGGTGGTTTTTATGGAGACACCCAGTTTAATGCCATAGTGTTAGAAAAATGTGTACTAAAACTTTTTTCATAGTCAGGAGTGGTTGCAGAATCATATGTCTAACTTTCTGTTCTCTTATAAAAACTGTGGAGATAGTGGTATGCAAATGAAGTCCAGGATCAGGGCAAATAAGTGAAGGAAGCATGGAATCTGTTCTAATAAAATTAATAAAATGTGGGACTCTTAACAAAGTAATATTGGATAGATTCTGGTATTTTTCCAACCCAAATAAATATTCTTTATTTTTGTGCAATAGCAAATTGAGTAATAGTCTACCATGTTTTACTTAAATTTCCAGGTAGAAACATGTTAAAAGTCCAAATTTAACTCAGCTGTAGCATTCCATAAAAGCAATACTCATTTGCTAAGCAAATTTTTGATGTATAGATCTCCTGCGTACACTTAATACTGTTTCTCATAAGCACTACTGTGCTTTCACATTCACTCACTGCAGTCTCTAGCTTATACACCCTGACCACGCCTCTGGGCCTTCAATACTTTTACTGGCCAATTTATTTAAGAGATATGCACTGGTTTAATTTCAGGAGACATTTAAACTTATCCTAACTAAACTGGTGCAACCTATTTTTAATGCATTTTAAAAGTGGTTTATTTTGATTCATCATAAACCTGCTCCTAAGGGTATAAACAGACAATCAGGAAAAACTACCCTGAATAAAAATGTAACCCACATTGAGAGGAAACGGATGGTAACAAACCAGTTATTAGCAGTTTAGTCTTGTGACTCAAGCATACAATGTGCGACTTAACAGATTGAGTGTGGGAATGGAGAAAAGTTGTGTGCACGCCTGCACTGTGAGCCCTTCGCTCGTTTCCATCAGTGCATTGTGCAATTGAAGGTGGGTTATTCACTGATGCACCTTTTTTAATTTTGTGGAAAATCCTGAAAATCACAAAATGAAGAATGAGTCACCATTTGAGGCCACAGAGCAGCAGCTCAAATACATCCAAATTTGCAGACATCCGTGCTATTGCGGGCCGGCAGAGACAGATAATGGAATCCAAGCTGCTTTCTGCTGGCAACCTCACAAATCCATGGTGGTTATCACTTGCGTGCAAGAACAGATGCAGTGAACTGTGGGCGATGGTTATTCACGGGAAAAAATATTTATTTTGAAGGTCCCACCAAAGAAACCACCCTGTCAGTCAAAGAAATGATGGGTTACAACCACCGTTTTTCTCTTAAATGGTATTTCTGAATCCATGAGGCAAATGTTGATGGGAAAAGGGCCTACAGAAGTGCAATGGCAAAATGTTAGTAACAAAATAAAATACCTCAAATTTCCTGTGGGGATGCTGAGGGAACACAGTATCCCAGAACAGCTGCTGCGATGATGCCAAGAATCTTATTTTTGGTTTACAAGTCTTCTGTTAACAGCGCCCACATTAGGAAATTGTATTACTGCAACCATTCTCATCTAGGTAAAGCAGTAGCTTTGGACATAAACGTCTAAAACTCTGAAGCAGACACAGCAGCACAAATGTGAGTGCAGGTACTCTGCGCGCACCTTAGGATTTCAAACAGCTTCAACAACACTTGAAGTCCTCTCCTTTGAAGGAGTTCGTGTGTAAGGCAGCTGAGCCACGAATGCATACAGCCGTCTGCACGCATGCTTTCAGTTCTCTAAGCGTGAAGAAAATTGTGCTGCCTGCAACTGTCCTCACAGGGTACGAAGTGAAGGCAAAGAGCACAACTATGGCAGCTTCACTACCAAAAGATAACATGACTGCATGACACTTCAATTCCCAATGTGCACGCCCGCAACCCTCCGAACCAGGGCCGCAGGCCTTCATGCCCCAAACCTGCCTGCCAGAAGTCCCTACAGACACAATCAATGGCAGGCTCTCACACAACACCCCCTGCACCGCTACGGCACCTGCCTGGGCACGCTGCCGCCCCTCGGCTTCTCGAGGCCGGCGGGAAGCCACCCACCAACCCACCACGAAACCCCCCCGCACCACCCC